CGTCATCGTTTAGAGTCGGGTTTTACTTAGATTAATCTGTCAAAAACAGTTTCACCGCTAGATCAGTTTATGGAACCCCCAAATTCGAGTGCTTAATCATTCATATGCAATTTTGTTGCAATCTATCTTGTTCTTGCTTGTGTTCTTCGATTCGCATATAGGGATTAGCCTTCTCGGCGAGGTCAACCGGGTTTCGGCACGATTGATAACCAGAGGAGACGTGGTGCTGCGATTACAGGGCTCAGTAGCGTGATTGTTCAGAAGCCGGATCGAGTTGTGTCGCGACTCCACCCAAATCGACTATTTATCAATACCTATCGGAAGATCGGGAGCCCTAGTCAACATCATTTGGTATCAGAGTTGAGCCCTTATTTAAGGGGATGGGAATGATGAGGACATCCTGTCACGCCCAGAAATTCACGAACCAGAATTTCTAAGCTGAATGTGCATTAATTCCCTGTCCAGGACTAGCCAGGGTACACAAACGACAATTGTTGACATACAGACCCACGTCTTATAAAAATATAGAAGATTACAAATGCGCGGAAAAGATAAAACGAGCTAAACTTGGAAGCTTGACTTCAGTAGCGGGCGACTCCACTCCACAGGCAACCCTTGACGGCAGCGACGAAACCAACCTTTATGAGACAGCTCCAACTGGGAAGAACTTCCGCTCTGGTGTGGGGGAAAAGAGAGCAAGACTGAGTACTACCCACTGTACTCAGCGAGTCATACCGGAAGAGGAGGTATGATGCAGGATATAACCAAAGGAGGCTAAAGGTTCATTTGCAATAAAGTAGGCATTTAAAAGCAGTAGTTGAAAATAGTAAAACAATTGTAGTAAGTAATCAGTATTAACCCATCACTATCCAACGCTACACCACGTTGCAACAGGCCCAACAAACCACCTGAACTACACCAGTTCATTAAACTAAACTAGGGGTGAGACTAATCACGGTGAATCAGGTTGATCGCCCATAACCGCAGGCACGGCTATTCGAATAGTTTTTCTCTGGCCAGAGGTGTACAACTGTACCCACAAGACACGATTCTACACATGTCGCCATGCCCCAAAGTATCACCATGATACTGCAAAGGGGGAAATCGTGACAAGACCCTCCGCATAACCCTCCCCTAACCATCCACACCACGCTAAGGTTTCACCCCCACCCCTCAAAAGGCAGTGGGCGGTCCCCTCTTGCGCCGCGGTGAATCCGGCAGCTGGACAACCGGACACCCCGGCCAACCCAACTTCATCACGCCCACCCTCGCCACCGGTGCCTTGGAAAGGGTCGAGCTATACTTCAGATCAAGCAGTTACCCACTCCCGCTTGTGGTAAGCACGGTAAGTCTCCCAGGGTTTCCCGTGAACCGGTCCTTAACTGCCATGGGTGCGACCAGCCAAACCATGCACCCACAGCTCACCATTCAGTGTATTTTAATTAACTAACACCACTGCGGTGGCACCAATCCAAAGCTATGCTAATAGTCAAAGTCTATGTAATAATGTGATCCCCATTTGTGTACTAGTTGAACTAGACATGGCTAAGCGTTTTCCTAAACCAACATCTAGTTATTTTGATACCCAAGCTATCAATGGCATAAGGTACACAATAAATGGCTGAGTAATAGGACCCATCCCACATGACATTGTAAAAGGATGCAATATTTAATAGAAATGCGGGATATTTGTAAATTGGGTACAATATGATCAATTGTAATGCATGACTTGCCTTACTCTCGCACTGATGAGATCTCAGCAACGTCTTCGAGAAATCGCGGATCGACGAAACAGCCGAAATCTACGGGACAAACAAAGCACACAAACAAAACATGCTATAAGACTACTGAAACAGGAAACAAAACCATTTTTAATGGATTCTAGGGATTTTTATGAATTTACTGAGACTTGAATAGACTTAAACGGAGCTCGAATGAATTACTTATGAATTTTAGAAGATAAGTTGTGTTTTTACTAATAAAGAAAAGTCATCAATCAATTTATTGCGCAATAAAGCCCAGGGCTGACGCCAGCGAAAGGGGGGCGGCGCCAGCAAGCGGGCCCCGCATGTCAGCGGCACAAAGGGTGGCCGGTCTACCGTGGACCAGGTCCACGGGGAGGAGGGGTGGTGGTGTACCACGTGGCGCCGACGTGGCACCACGTGGCTGGCCACGCGGGCCATGGGACGGACGGCCACGATCGGTCGAGGGCCGATAGGGCGGCTGGGGACGGGCGGCACCGAGGCCAGCCCGGGCATGGCGCACGGTGGCGACCGGCCGGCGGCAGCGGCCGGCGACGCGGACGGGCGGCGGCGGCACCTTAGGAGAGAGCAGAAATAGGGTTAGGAGTAGGGAAGGCAACCACGGCGGACGCCATTGACGGTCGGAGGCGGAGGGGATGGGGAAGCTCACCGGCGTTCGGGACGAAGGGGGCTCCGGCAGCGATTGATGACAATCGGGCAGCGACCGAGGTGCAGGCAGGCTCGGTGAGCGCGACGGCGGCGATTGCGCGGCGCGGCGGCGGCTCTAGCGGCGGCGGCGCGCGGCCGGAGATGGGTGGCGGCGGCGGAGCTCGGCGAGCGCGGCGCCACGGCGGTAGGAAGCACGGGAAAGGGCGGCGAGAGGGGGAAACGAGAGAGGGGGCCCGGGGAGGGTTTTTATTGGGCGAGGGAGGGGCGGACTGTTGCCGGGAAGGTGGCTGATTTGGCCAGCGACGTGGGGGAGTGGAGGGAGAGAGAGGGGTGTTGGGGGATTTCAAATCCCCCACCACTTGCGGGCGCGCGCGTGCGGGAGAGGTGGAGATGGGCAACGACGTGGGCGCAGGGTGCGGGCGCGAAGTGGAGCGGAGAAGGCGGAAGTGCGGGGCGGTTGGAGCTTGGGCTCCAACGGCCGGAGGTAGGAGACGACCGACAGGTGGGGCCCACCTGTCGGCGTCCCAGAGAGAGGAGGGAGGGAGCGGGCCGGCCCACAAGGGGAGGCCGAGCGCGGGGTGAGGTGGGGTGGACTGGGCCGACGGCCCAAGAAGGAAAAAGAAAGAAAAGAAAAAGAAGGAAATGGAAAAAAAGGATTTCCTGGGGTTTAAATATTGCGGTTAATGAATTTTAATTGGTTAAAATTACTTATAGGGCTCTGAAAATTCCTCTAAAAATCATGTTAATGTATTGGAGCATGGGGAACTCAAGAAAAAATCCACCACGCCGAATTCGATTATTAAATGCATTTATTAATTGAGGATTAGCTCTAGGTTAATTCGAATCATTTCTTCGGCCGATTTATTTAACAAATTTTTAAAGCAAGGAAAAGGGGAAACTTCAGGGCGTGACACATCCTCCACTATTAACTGCTGGTAAAGACGCAACAAGGGGCCAAGTGGTCCAGTTGTAGTCGGACGGCAACCGTGTGAGCCTCTGAATAATCCCACCTTGCTTAGCTTGGGAGGAGGAAGCCACCTTAAAAGGGAGAGCCACGAAGCCCTATTAGACTAGTCTTTTAGGGAGATTGGGCATTTCCCCGAATGGATGTGCCTAAGAACTGTTGGGGTTCGGGCAACTTTAATTATTGGGCCTCGGCCAACCTCACCTGGGCCGGATGTATTAGGTGGTGGCACGGCTGCCGCCGCACTCCAAGCGATCGCCGCAGTCGCTGGTCTAGCACGCGGTCGCGCCACCACCGTCGACCGGCCTGCCTAGGGAGAGAGGAGCAGGGAGGGAGACGTGGGTCCTACACTGACTCACCCGCTATGTCGGACAAAACCGTGATCAAAACCACCGAAGGATGTAAAGCGAACGGTTTTGTAAATTAAGTGATGCCATTATATGGTTTTGCGGTTGGGAGACGATTTTGTAAGTCGATGACAAGTTGAGGGACCTTGGGTGTACTTTTTCCAATCCTGGAGTACAGTACAAAGACCGCCACTGCCTCTCGTGGAATCGTGGCCCGTGGGTATGTGTCAACGATCGGCATCGGCTGCTCTACTGTTGCTGTTTTGGGCTGAGCCACGTGAGCTGCTGTTTGCCGCTCGCGTCCGCCAGTAGAGGATGAAAGCCCATAAAGCCCACCACTACCGTCTTTCAAAGCCCACAAAGCTTCCTCGTGTTCGAGTCCGACTGCCTGTCGTGCTTGGTACCCTATATATGTTGAGTCTTCATAATCTAAAATCGCCAGGTCTGGCTAATTTTTCCATAATAAAGAGGTTTCTGTTTTTTTACTCAATTTTTCCCACATAGAAGATTGAACCCTGTTGAAAGCTCACCCGGACAAAAGGTCAAGTAGATTTTGGTCAAGAAAAGATCAAGTAGATTCCATCATGCAGATGCGATCGTCTCCGCCCATAGTTCTTACGGGAAGAAGTGAAAGGTTGGTGTTTCTTTGAAATTTGTGATTTACATCGAGTTACTCTATGATCCATTATTGCTCCTAATAAGTTTTTTTTTAATTACACACAAACGCACGCGTGCACACACCATTACACGTAGCACCGCACAAACATCCTCGCAAATACGTACCCTAGAACACACTCAAAGAGATGAAACCAAATGTATATACATGATCTCATAAGAAATCATCTACATGTACGTAATATTTGTAGGCATCAGGATTTGAATTTTGGTGGGTGCCTCCTAAAGAGTTTGATCTGTAAGAATAGGTGAAATCGAAGCTTGGGCCCTTTTGCTCTGATCTAGTAATTGAGAATACATATTAGTATTTTAAGTACTCTACGCTAGTGCATATTCCCCAATGGCTTTACCACATGTTAAGATAGCTTGACCCACTTTATACGGACGCTATCCATATAATCTTTTGTGCGTTGTGTTTACACAATAATGTCGCACATTGGAGTAGTTTACCTACGATTGCTTAAATAATGCTAAAAGACCCGCTGCCCACCCAAAAGTCCGCAACTCTGTAACCGATCCAGGCCGCAGCCGTGGCCCAAGAAGCCCAAAAGGCCCGCTGCCCACCCAAACGGGTCGAGTGACCTGCGCACCCAAACTGAGGGCGTTTAGTTGTCGTCGACAGGTTGCGGCCGCGAGGGGAGCGGAGAAAGGGGGGGAAAAAAGATGGAAACTAACCCTAATCTCGATCTCGACGGCGAGGGCGGCGCCGGCGCCGGCGCCTCGTCGGGCCGTTCTTTGCTGCCGAAAGGAAGTGGTAGGTTCCGCCGCTCGTCGGCCCGTTGTTCGCTGCCGAAAGGGAGTGATAGGTTCCGCCGCTCACTATCGCCGGTGAACTCGCGGTCGCTCCTAGAAGGACGGGATGTGCGGGACGCTGTTTTCCCCAACAAACTCTTCGATAAAGCCTTCGGCCAGCCTCTTCCGTAAGTTCATTCATGCCCTCCCTCTCCACACCCATGAGGCCATGAGCATGACTTAACCTAAGAATCGATTGCTGCCGCAGAGCGCCCGTAACGCCGTCTCTGGTACCATCGCCCGCTTACATCGTGCGCCCCAACCTGCCGACCCCTTCCGAGCCACACGGATTGAATTTCAAGTTGTGCATGTTTACCCTTAGCTCTATTGATTGATTGAGTGATTGATTTTACTCCCCTTTATATTGATTTCCTTGTTCTTTTATTCATCTGAAGTGCCCCACTTGTTGGCGATGGGAAGATGCAAATGGATGTGGAGGGTGCCCCACTTGTTGGCGATGGGAAGATGCATATGGTTGTGGAGAGTACCCCACTTGTTGGCGATGGCAAGATGCATATGGTTGTGGAGGAGGAAATGACAACAGCTCTGGCTGTTCATCAGCCTTCAAGTCAGAGAAGTCAGAGGTACTTAGCACATCTTCTGCCATAAATCATTCATATATAATTAGAAGTAGCTTAACACATGATCTGGAAATTCCTTTAACTCAGGATCATAGTGATTGAGATGATGGCAGATGTTGGCTCACCTTCCTCTCCTGGCTCCCCCTACTCCCCTAGTTCCCCTTCTTCTCATCGAGACGCTCCCTCGGTCCGCTTCTCCTCTCGAGGCATCCGTAACCATAAGATGTAAGTTGGTTCTCCTATGTGCGTTATGTTTTTGCATATATTAGCACATACTGCTGATTATTAACATTGAAATTAAGAATAATAGACTAAAAATTAAATTCGTAATGAAACAGCACTTGACACCACCATTTTTGAGATCTGAAGTTTTATGATTCATATATGCTACTTCCTCCGTTTCATATTATAAGACTTTCTAGCATTGCCCACATTTATATATATATATTAATGAATCTAAACATATATATGTCTAGATTCATTAACATCTATATGAATATGGGCAATGCTAGAAAGTCTTATAATATGAAATGGAGGGAGTAGACCCTAGAGATGGATGGTGGTAATGCAGCCGTTGCTTCACTTATTTGTGCGCTCACTTGTTAATCATGTTCACCAGCTGGCCTCATTTCTCCCACTCCGATGTGTCCATCCAAGCATGTTCTACTATCACTCTAGGCTGTGAATATGTTGGGTGGGGGATTGGCCATCTGGTCAGTTTGGGAAGTGAAAGTTACACGAACCATTGGTACTTTGGGCAGATAGTAAATGTTGGGACCTAGGAGATCCACGGATAGAACAGTTTAGTACATATAAATGTTTGATATATCTAAGGCTTATAATTTATTTAGGTCTGTAATCAAATGGTATATATGTTATTGACATGAGAAAACATTTTGTAGTCAATAATACAGAGGGGTGAGATTTATCATGTTAACCTTTGAAACTTTTGATGAAATGTTTTAGGCCTCAGTGTGATATAGACAGATCAGACACTGAAGAAGATCTATATTCATCGTGTGAGGAGGATCCCTACTTCAATAGCCTTGTGGATGATTTCATCGGTGCAGTTACCAGCACCGATCTACTTGCATCATCACCTGAAATTGACTATATGGCAGCTAATCAAAGTCAATCTCTTTTCTATGCTGAAAGTGCATTAAAACATTATAACAACAATGATGAGAACAAGGTAACTTTTTTGCATTTCTTTTGTTGTATTTTCTATTTATGTACGAATCTGGCTGCTAGAAATCTGTTTAGATTTGTTTCTTACCTCATGCTATGGTGATTAGCCCTCTCTATTCTTGTCATGGCTTTGTCATTTATTTGTAGTTATCTCCAATTGTTCCCAGCAATAATCAGATTAACTCTTAAATTAAAAGTTGTGGTAGGTCGGTGAAATCTAATTCAATTTTAACTTAGAGCATGGACTTAGCACGCCACACAGTTGTTTGATCCTTTTGAATTTTTGAAACAATATTATTTTTTGTATTTTACTTATCTTCCAAAGTTTGTATATGGCTTTAATTATTTTGTTGTGATACCGCTATCCAAGATTCTTAGTATTTTTTTTATTTTCCTTAACTAGCAAAGTACTTGCCTTGCAACGGATTTCAAAAGATATGTCCGAAGTTCTTCACTTGGAAATTGTATTTGCCAAACATAATTTGCAAGCAAACATCCAGCAAAAAACCAAGCCACACACACAAAGATATATTTATCTAGACTTGGAAGATCTCACTAACTCCAACTGATGGCAGATTCACCACCACCACTAGGTTCTTTTATATAGTAGAGATTTTACATGTATATGTGTTAAATATTTGTTTACTGACTTTTATTGTCTTTCTATTTGAAATATAGATAAAGTATGAGTTAATCAGTGCCATTACAAGCAATGCAATTATAGACCGGAGTGGTTATGGTCATGTAAACTTTGTTGCAAAAGGGGATCTACCTGATTCAGTGGATGAGTTCTTTTTCGCAGAAGTACGTTGGGACATTGATTCTTATGTGCCAGTTTGCATGGTCTCCTTAGAAGGGAAGGAAAAATCTGGTTAGTTCGAAAGATAACCGAAAACTCTATTAATCTGTTCTTTTCTTCTAAATTTTAACATGTATATGTAATTGATGTGTACAGGTGGTTACCGTGACATTGAAGTCGACTATCCAAGAGGAGGTTTTGTGGGTGTTCCCGTCGATAAGAATCATTGCTATGCTTGTGGCGATGGACTCAAGCATCCAGAGGATGGAACGTTATATGAGAGTGGTCATATCGCTTCCGGCAGTTATTATGACTAGCAGTTTTATTGAAATTGCATTTTTAGAACTTTATTTAGCTAGACTAGAAGTGTGCAATCCTTTATATCTATGCTAAACTAAATTAGTACGGAGTATACTCACCATTCTACTTTGTATACATCTTGTTTGATTTGGGTTGAACTCCGAGTTGTATGTGATACACCCGAAGACGTTATTATCGTTGCAAATATTGAAAAAGTCATAGAAGGTGGCAATCCACTCCTGGGAGTGGGGATGGATATATGTTGTCACAAGTATGATCCTATGGACGGGACTAGCAATTGGACATGATTTTAGGTAGATTGTTGAACGGTGTTTCATTACTTGTTAAAAAATAAAATATTTATGTTTCATCAGTTAGTGTAAAAATGTTTTAACCGGATGTATTTGTTTATTGATTACACACAAATAAACCAACAGTAGTGGACATAGGGGTTACTGGGTTATTCCCGGGAATACCAAAAATTTGTGAAGTAAAATTGATATATATGGGTATACACATATGTAAGTATTTAATTAGATCTAATACTTCATCATCGATCTGTTTTTTCTCAACAAATCTATTCTTCTGGAATATTGACTCACATCACTTCTAACTAGTTAACTATCTCAAATCCCCTAACTCTATCCCACTTTTTATAAACAACCACAACAACTCTATCCCACTAAACAATATGGATGAAATACTTGCGATTGTTCAGTAAATACCCAGATATATAATCCGCATCCGCCAAACCAACATGTGAAACATCAAAGAAAACTAACTGCAACATCGAGAAAAAAAAATGTTATTCAACACATTTAAGACGGCAGAGGGCGAGGCGTCACACCTTTAACGAGACAATGCGCATCATGTGCAAGTGTAATATCTGACCGGATAGAGTAAAACACTTGAATACACCGAGATGCAACAAAAAAAAATGATAACAACAAAAATCTTTAGACTCTGGTAAGATCCTACCATCTAACTTCTTCCTCTATTTCGATGGTCGGATACGTTTTCTTACTCTAGTCCAGTAGCCAGAAATAAGCTACTTGTGGATGCGACCTAGTTGCGGCAGCCTCCCTCATCTCCTTATCCATAGCCATCACCATCACACTCACACATGAGCCTCATTGCAGTGGATATTGTCTCCACTTCGTGCCCCCACTGCCGCCACCAGCTTTGTCGTCCGCTCGTCATCACTGCGAGTCTTCATCGTCATTGCCAAAAGCCTTATCTAAGCCATGCACCCCCATCGGCACCGCAAGCTTTATTGTCGTATCACCCACTCCGGTCTCCACTCCTTAATGTTGTTGGAAAGTTTGTTTTTGGGATGAAATGATTGGGGTGAGAGAGAGGACACGTAGGAGATGGAGAAAAGCAAAAAAGATTATGTTAGCGTGGAGCTCACCACGCTAACCATCCAACACTCAAATATGGCAAATGATTATATTAGAGGAGTTGGGAGTTTTCATTCTGAAAAAAAGGGAATATGATACGTTGATGGATATTGACAGCTTCGATCTCATGTTTGCCATCGCTCGATGAACTCACTTAGAACATGCTCAATGTCGTGACCTTAGGCCATTCACAGTGCAACATGTTTCTATGAGGAGCCTCAATATGCCACATAGGACGAGATATCGAGTATCAATTCTCTTTATCCCATGGTGCAAAGGAGCTCTAGCTGTGGCTTTAATTTTTTATGTCAGCCCATAACATTTTATATTTAAGTCCTCGTAGTTTTTTTAATTTAGAGAATGGTTCGAATTGTACACAAAACACCCTAAAAAAGGGAAGCATGTATAAAATCTATCATTTCTCATTTTCCACATTCCCCCTCTAGCGCCGCCGACGCCTCTCCCATTCCAACCCCCACCAGCACCTCTCCCCTCCCCGCCAGCGACCCACGTTCCACTCTGTCCAGTCGCCATCGCCTCTACCCTCTCCCTGGCACCGCCTCGATCCGGGCGGCTGTCGAGCAGATCAACGCAGAAATGAGGCCGAAGGCATCTCCGGCGCCACGGCAAGGAAGTTGCAGCTCCGTCCTCTCTTCCTTTTCCAGTAGGCGGCAGCGGGGGCGATAGGTGGCAGATCAAAAATGGGCTCGACGACGGCGGGATCGGTGGCTCGCTGGCAAGAAGGCGAAGACGACGAGGAGGGCTCCTATGGTTTAGATCCGAGGTCATTGTGAAAGGGACAACGTACGGCGACGGTCCCATGTCTCGCCGTCGCTGCCCCTTTCTCTGGCTGCCGGACTTGGGAGGGACACTGGGTTGGTTGTGGGCGTGGGGGTGTGGGGGCCGCGACGCATCACGAGGGCACGAGGAGGCGGGGACATGACCTCCCCAACGCAAGTTCTTCCTGTCGCTTCACCTTCACGCAGCCTCAGCCTGACAAAACCTGACGTGTTTCGCGTAGCAACCTTGGGACATGGCAACCGAAACCCTTGCTGGCGCACCGAGGCACCATGAACGGGCTAAAGTGATAGCTGTGATCTCTAGCTAGGCCCGAATTCCTGTTTAGGGGCTCAAGTGCCAACATGGGCTGTGTTTAGTTTTTAAAATTGGGGAGAAGTTTAGGAAAAGTTGGTAGTTTAGAAAAAAGTTGGGAGTTTATGTGAGTAGAAAAGTTTTGGATATGATGTGATGTGATGGAAAGTTAGGAGTTTGGGAAAAATTTGGTGTGAACTAAACAGGATTTTGTGAAACTTGACCCTCATAACGAAGAAGGATTATAACGTGAATGAATGTTTTGAGGAGATCCATCTGATAACCACATGATTACGGCCCCGTCGACGCTGTGCACCAAACACAATAAAGACATGGACGCTTCCAGAAGGAGCCAACTAGGCAACCGCCAACCGATCGGAAAACTCTCCGCCACGCGACGCAAACGAATCGCACTTCGCAGAGGCGAAGCGAAGTAGCGCTGCCTTGCCTTGTCGCCCTTCCCCTTCGACTCCATTCCCTCCCGCTTCTCGCGCAACGCTATCCCGCCGCCGCCGCGTGTCTCCCCAATCCCAATCACTAGCCTCCTCCGTCGACCGTCCGCCTTCCCCTGAGGGCGGCCTGCGTCTGCGTGGCTGCGCCGTGCCGCCGTCGCGCCCCCGCAGCTTCTTGCGTCTTGCTGCGCGCCGTGCCACCCGCCGGCGCCTGCGCCTGCGCCTTCCTTTACCGGGCTACCACCCTGCGCCGTCTCTGACTCCCCGGCCGGCGGTCGCCCTGCCCGCTGCTCCTGCACGGCGTGGCTGCACCCTAGCCCCTGCCCATAACTCCATTGTAACACCGCCCCCAGCTCGATTGCCGCCTGACACAAGGCAGACAGAGGTATGAATCTGGCCTTGAATTGAATAGTTGTGAGTCTTAATCGGTACGGAACTATGGATAATGATGCAAATTGTAGTGAATCGGCAATGTTAATCTTAGAAGAGTAGATTGTGGTGCAGATTAAAGAAATTGTGTTGTACTTATTTTATCTATGTAAGATCTTTAATATTTGAATTATTTATATTTATATCTTTGCAACTTTCAAACTTTAGGTGTTGATTTTAGTCGATTTGTGATGCTATGAGATACAATTGCTTTATTATGTCATAATCCGAGCAAATTTTGTGGGCTAATGGCGTTATTAAATTTTGGAACATGAAGTAGGAACACCCAACAAGAAATTCCTGGAGCTGCCATTGCGGCGCTGCCTTCCATGGAGACCGAGGGCTGGCCTGCCCTCCAGCCTCTGCTGTGCCTCGCCTGGATCGCCACTACACTCCCCATCATTGTCGCCGCGCTGCCAATCCCCGCAGCTGCTGGTGGTCACCTCCTTCGCCGGCTGCTCTCGGCCTTCTCCTCCCGCGGCAAGACCGTGAGGCCCTCCCCCGCCTCATCCTCTGGTTCCTCCTCTTCTAAGGCGGTAAGATCGGTTCAAGGTGCCGCAGCACCTATTTGCTGCTTCGCCTTTTCTGTTATCATTCGACAATCCCATGGAGTTAGTATGATTCCTTGGTAAACGAAGCTTGGTTAGACCTTGATAAGTTAAGCGAAACTTGTTCAAAGCAAATATAGGTTTGGGTTGGTTTGAAAAAGATATAACCGTGGATTGTTTAAGGCCAAAGTAGCTAGCTACTGTTTTGTAGTGTTTAGTTGATGCAAATCTGAAATATTATCGATTGATTGTGAGAAGATGATACATTTGGAAGAAATTAGTTCTTAAATGTTTGGGAACCACAGTTCTGGACTTAAACAATTTTTTTAATTGGTGTTTGTCTACAGGATATACAGCCAGCTTTTCTTGTCAACTTGGAGATTTAGTTATGCTAACTTAGCTATACGAAAAATACATACCAAGCCAGTTTTGTGAGTAAAAACTAACATTATATAGTAGGATCGAATTGATTCCTCATCGGCTTTTCTTGAGCTATTTTTCATCCAATTGATGATCAATTGCACATGAGAACACGCACCAAATTTGTAGTTCTTCTCATATTCAACTTCTGTATAATGCTGATAATCTCAGATCGATCTTTTCTAATCTGCAGAAGTTCACTGTTCCACAAAAATACTTCATGCATTTTTATGTGGTCGGAGTGCTGGCAACAACAATTTTGCTTCTGGCAATATGGTTCTATGCATATATGAAAATGACACCATTATTGCCTGAGTCATCAAGTTATTCCACAATTGCCAGCCATCTTGTAGGCTCAAATTCATTCTCTTTTGGTCGTGTTCACTCGCGCACCATGGGACACAAGTATCATGTCTGGCGAACAGTATTTGTACTTCTATTGATGGAAATTCAAGTGCTGAGACGACTATATGAGACTGAACATGTGTTCCACTACAGCCCTTCTGCTCGGATGCATATTGTAGGATATTTGACGGGTCTATTGTAAGCTCCAGCTTGCTTTACATCCTTTATGTTCTATATCTCCATGGCACATTTGTTGTGAAAAATATCCCACTTGATTAGTTATCATGTCCTTTACTTTATTCTGTTGTTATGTTACATGATTTTGCTTAAAGGTTTCTAAATAATTCTTGTATGCAGTTTCTGCAGCTCATACATGTAGGCTGTCCACAAAATATACACACATCTAATGAGTTAATTTACTGCATGATTTGTCATTGACCTGAACTGATCAAAAGAAATACCACTTCGGTAGAAAATAGCCCAAGTGATGCTGATAACTGAATTGTTCAATTCTTGACATTTTATTTGCTTTCTTCTGCCATAGTGCTTATATTAGGAAGAGGATATGCATTCATGCTACCCATGATATTTTTTTCATACTATTGTTGTTGTTCTTTTGTTTTCATGTATAACATTTTCAGATTGACTTATAGTTTGGTTTTTCTTCATGCCAGCTATTATGTAGCTGCACCATTATCTCTTGCTAGCTCTTGTATCCCTGAAGCAGCAGAGTATCTTCAAGGTCAAGTAGCTGAGTTCATAGTAAAGGGTCGTGCGAGAATGCCAGATCTTGTAATTGATTCATCATCTCTACTACAGCCTCTTCTGAAGTTGGGGTGGACCCAGTGGATAGGTGCTGTTATATTCATTTGGGGTTCCCTCCATCAGATCCGTTGCCATGCAATTCTTGTAAGATCTATATGCTCTCTAATGTCCCTATGACCCTAGATATACTAGCAAGTTTCTTTTACATATATGGGCAGCATCAGAAATCTTCCTAAAAATGAAAAGAAAAGAAAGAAAGAAATCCACCTATATATGCTGTAAGTTGGAACTGTCAAACTGCAACCATAACTTGTTAGTGTAAAGCTGAAGGTATGGCTTGCTGGAAGTGTTCTATTTTTTGAGAGGGTGGAGCCCACCAGGCTTTAGGAACCCCATTTACACAAATTGCTTGGTCAATCAACATCAGGAATCCTTCATGAAATGCCAATCAGATTCAATGGGTTATGCATTATGCTTGTTCAGAAACTGTGGTATTATGCATTGTTGTCTTGGAAACTTCTAGGCTGCGGTCTATATTTTGAATTTCATGGTTTGTTTTTTATTGCTTTTACAGGGAACGTTGCGTGAGCACAAAGATTCTGATGAATATGTAATTCCTTGTGGTGACTGGTTTAATCGAGTCTCTTGCCCTCATTACCTTGCTGAACTAGTGAGTGTCTTTTCTATGTCCTCATTTTCAGTATGTGGCATATACTGTTTTGCAAAATATGGCAGGTCTTGTTAATCTGCTTATTTAACAACGTCAAGTTAGATTAGGCCTGTCCATATTGTCTTGGGTTTGTCAATAAAAATCATCTTGGGGAAGTTTGGACGGGTTCCAATTGGTGGAAGCACTAGACTGATTAGCTCCTGGTCCAGCTTCAACTCCTGGCTGGAATAGGTTGGGGGAAAAACAGAGAATTTGCATGTTGCTTTTGCTGGGATTTAGAGTTTTTACACTGAAGCTGAATTCCAGTGCAGACTTCTCATCAAATTTGTTCTGTTACCTATTTCATCACTGTAGTTCTCTGAGTGCAATACCATGTGAGAGTGAATATGTCCTTTTAGTATCACCCGTACTGGGAAATGCAAACATTCTTTGCATGGCTTAAATATGATAAAACAGGATAATATTTTCTGAACTTTCATATTATTTCACTTGTGTGAAGCAACTAGATGACTCTAACATGACAGCACATATGTTTCCATGTAGCAGAATTGGTGCTGTTTGACTTGACAGTTGATGCAGTAGGGCACTGAGCTACTAAAAGAGCTCCTGTTGTTTTAAATTATTATGGCATTAACATTTACAGTTACTTTGGCTTGTAGGTAATATATTTTGGCATGTTGGTTGCTAGTGGTGGAGAAGACATTCCAGTGTGGTTCCTGTTCGTATTTGTGGTACGCCCTACAGTAACTTTTTGAACAAAGATAGTCAGAATTCAACTAACGCGCAATTATCTTCTACATTTAGTTTCTTTTGTTTTTTGTTCCAGTAGATTGAACTATCTTTTTTCTTTTTCATTTTTGCAGATCACAAACCTGTCATTTGCAGCAGTAGAAACTCACAAGTGGTATCTTCAAAAGTTTGAAGACTATCCTCGCTCTCGCTATGCCATCATTCCATTTGTATGCTAGTGTCTACGAAATGGCTACATTATGCAAAGCTTATGTATTTGCACACAATTACGACATGTAACTTAGCTTGATGTAAATGTGATAACAATCATACTACGTACCACCGTAGAGGCTGGAAGTGTTGTATTGTATAACGTAGCCACGCAGAATGTACCTGTGACACTTCATGCTGTGTGTTATGCTACACACTTGGATATTTATCAACATTCTTAAGCATCGGGAATAAAGTTCTTGCAGAATTGGATTGGAAAATCTTCAAGCTGTGACAATCTAGGCAATGTCAGTTCCTGATTTGTGACTTAATATCAGAGCACCTATGTACGTTACCAGTAGTAATCTTTGTGCTTCTACATATTTAAATTACATGCCAATTATGTCATCGATGAAACATGTTTGGTAATTTAAACTTAAATGTTCGCAACTCAAAGTGATCTAGGGTATGTTGTGCTCGTCCTTTGTAGAAGGAAAAAGAAGTGCCGTCATGTTTAGAGACCTAAATACCTGATCTGGTCTGGAAAACGGAATACTTCAGGATTTATCAGAGCGATACCATTTCAACTTTAAGCAAGATACTTTATAAGCTTTAGGCAGATGAGTTGCTATGATTTTCTCAACCAATCGCAAGTTTAACACAGTAACAAGGTCATCATCCTCTAAAGTAGCACGCCGTCAGAGTAAATTAACAGCAGGATTAGCCTACTAAAAGAAGAAGCTGAGCTGATGAAAGTGAGCAAGAGGTGCCAGCCACCAACCCACAGCACTCATGGAGCCATGGTCCCTCACCTGGCCGGGATATGGGGGTGAGAGGCGTTTGGTCAGAAAGCACATCCACTGATCCGCGAGAGGGGACATGCTCCTTGTCTTTGCCCGGCTAATCCTCCCTCCTGGACATGTGTTCAATCACATTGCCGACTTGGATCTTCTTTAAGTCTTGTTTACTACAGCTCTTACTAGTATAATCCTTGTTTTTTTGCACGGCTAAAACTGGGACTGAATTATGGCCTGTCCACTAGCTCAGACTACTCAACGACAGACACCATGAGAGCTGAACTTTCCCTGGTTCAGGTGGTGGGGAATGGAATTAGAATCTATCCGTGGAAACTCAGAAAAAGATATTTGCAATTGCCACTGTTTTATCAGAGAGTTGCTAGTGCTTGTTCGTTTGCTCGCTGCACTATTTACTTTATAGGAGCGTGGTGACGTTGCAGGAGTTGGTGCCAGAAATCCGTGAACTGAAACTAATGAGATAAACTCGGAACTGATAGTGAAATGCCGATACAGTAGAGTAGGCGCCTGAAAACTGACGAACAGAAGGCATAATTGGAATCCGACGTTTCTGAAGGTTCATTCGGCCGAATTGAGCGGGATGTGCTCTCCAAGTCTCGATCACACGTCGATTTAATACCTTGGATAGCTGAATAAACAAACGAACGTGAGCGTTTGACGAAGCTGTCCCCATGTATGCGCCGTTCAGTTCAGAAACGAAAAATTTTCAGCTTCGATTTCCAACGTCACTGAATTGGGTGCCACCCTGTGTATAGCCTGAACATCTCATTTTTAATGAGAGAAGAGATCAAATTCGGCATCAACTCAATGGTTTCTTGATGATCCTACAATGAGAAGATGAGAACGATGTGTGTGTGATGTGTGAGCCAGTCCAAGCTCTGCCGTTTTGGACGGCTTTGCCACGGGCAGCGGACAGTAAGCGAAAACGCGACCAAAACCTTCTTTCGGCAGCTGACCTCTCGTCGTCGTTTTCCCGCTCATTTTCTGCATTTCGTCTGCGACTTGGAGTCGTTTTCTTCTGCCCATGACAATATTAATGGACACGCGAGGTCTCCGCTCGGAGTGTGTGAGACTCATCCAAGAGCAACAATGGCGTGATTTCTCTTACGCTTTGTGCGCGACTCGAACAAAGCATGTACATCCACAAGTTGACATTTATTGGGTTTTTTTTCTCTCCATATTTCTTCACGATTCAATCGATCTGCCATGGACTAACACTAGCTAACTCACCAACCATGACTTCACCGCCATTATTCAGTTTCCGTGTATTGGGCTTCTTGTTTAAGAATTTAAGAGTCAAGAATTCCAGATGCGTCCTTGATGCTTTGTGATGAACAGTGGAAACTTGGATCTATGTCTAGGAATACTTAATTCTTTTCAGATTATTCACCTGATTATTTGCTCAATGTTTTGAAAAAAAATACATTTTGTGGAGAAAAAACTTTCTTCTACTATATTGCTTTTTTTTAGATAATGGAATGAAACATCCCGACCTTTACTCCGAAGAGCTACAGCCAATTATTAAAAAAGTAACACACTTATAAAGTCTTAATTCAATATAAAACTATCAAACCAACCAAAATTAAAAGAAAGACCTAACATGACAAGGAAAACATTATTCCAGCCTATTAGAAAATCTCCATCCATGGTTGGCAAAAAGTTGCATAACCGTTGACTCAAGAGTACGACACGCAACATTCAGGAAAACTTCATCTTCCTCACACTTTTGTAGTTGAGCCCATAGCCGAAGCCAATATGTTGCCCTGAAAATTACCTGCATATAGGAAACAGATGATGATTTGTCAAAAACCCTATCATTTCTACACAACCACAGGGCCCAACATAAAGCAGAGGCACCAATAAGTATCAACTTTCTCTTGTCCTTGTCTACACCCTGAAGCCAACATTAAACATATGAGGTATGCTTCTAGGAAGATGTAATCCAAAAGAAAATTGAACAGCTCTCCAAATAAACTTTGCATAATGACAATCCATAAACAAGTGTTGGATCGTCTCATTTTTCATGCAGAAACAACATGTTAAACCCCCATTTCAATTCCGTCGTGCAAGATTATCCTTTGTTAAGACGACTCCCTTGAGCAAATACCACATACTATATTGCTTAGGTCACTTGTTTTAAACTATTTGTTAAGTTTACTTATAAAAAATATTTACTTTATCCCTTTAACCAAATAAATAATCCGAGAAAAAATAGTCTACTCAATAATCTGCTACAAACTAATCTGAAGTACTTAAGTAGTAATACATGTTCCATGGAACAAGGGATGGTGGAGGCCGGAGAGGACATGTTAAGGCGTACTGAACTTTTAAGATCCATCTGCATACATAAGTGCAAGCGAGCATCCTCTCGCTTTGCTGAATTGTTTTGCAGAAGAGGGGGGGAGGAGAAGCACAGTGATGAGGAGGAGTAAAGCTGACACTGCTTGGCTGGTGCTCCAGTGTCAGGATGAACACTGCCAGGTCGCGCCCATATGGCCGTTTGATGAATTATTGGAGCCCCTTCTCTCCTGCATCACTCTACAGTCCACACTCATCTGAATTCATTTCATCAGCTGCTGTTCTAGTAAGCAAGTATAACAGTGAGCTATAAGCTTATTATAAGCTTACGTGGAGAAGGAAAGAAAAAAAAAATCAAAGTTGTTGGCTCTCATACAAGAGCTATCTTAACACAAGCTCTAAAACAAAAATAATAAATATATAAGTGAGAGATAGAGATAGGCAAGAAAATTGTAGCCAACCTTATAACTAATCTATTATATGTGTTGGTTTTAAGATAGACTAATAGTAGATAGTGAGCTCTACTAGAGTATTATCTTTGCTCGTATGGGAGTGGGCTGCTAGCCTCTGCTCACATCGAGGTTTCGGTATTTGACCTGGAAACCTGGAGTCGCCCTGCAATTTTACCTTGAATTGAGAGCTGGTTGCCTCGAGCGAAAAAATTATGGTATAGCTATATTTATGGCGCCATATTTTTTATTAAAAAATAGTCAGCATGTATTTATATTGTAAGTCCCTAAATTACATATATAATTTTAGTGTATTTATAATATAAGTCTCAAAATTACATATGTAAGTACTAAAATTACATATATAAATTCAAAAATTACATACTAATTACATATGTAAGTGGGGTGTAAATAAGGTGTAACTACTGTGTAAGTGGCTAAAAAAATCGACTGTATCATATGGCTACCATATTTCTAGCAACTCCGAAAAATTACATCTTTTCAGATTTGATATCGTATTGTCGTATGATGTGTATTCGTACTGTATCCGTCCATATTATTTGTCGCTTTAAGTTTTTTTAATATTTAATCATCCGTTTTATTAAAAAAATTATAATTTTTTTTTGACTTGTTTTATTATCAAATATACTTTAAATATGATTTATATTTTTTTATATTTGTATTAATTTTTTTAAATAAAATGAATGATCAAACGTTACAAATAAAAAATCAAAGCGACAAGTAATATGAGATGAATGTAGTAGTACTAATTATGTGCGCGGAAAACTATAGTTCAGAGCAGTAGGAAAAAAAAATCGACGCAACGTACACTATCTTTTCACAAAGATTCGGGCAGAAAAGTGAGAACTTTGCAGTGAGCCGCGCCCTACGGTGGTGTGCACATGTGCCTGCAATAGTTCAGGGATTGATAAGATTTAATCTCTTTTCACCGGCATCAACACACACAGGATGCGAGCATTCTTCTCTACTCTCTTCACTGCAGTGGTAGGTACTGCCATATGCCCATATCAAGCATGTGCAATTGCTTTACTTACTTTTTGGTGCTTTCTATCCAACAAAACCGTCCAAATATTTGGCCGCGTACAGGTTACAACGGCAGTACATGCAGGAAGTGGATTTGGCTACGGTATTCCATTTGCTGCTTGATGCCATTAAGGAGATCGATTCGGTTGACGCTGGCACGGAATGGGAGCAATGGAGCATCAGCATTGTATATTTGTTCGAGCATAAATTAAATTGATCATATTTTGTATACAATGTACTAATAGTATAAGCTGTGGATCAAGAGGAACAAGAAAAAAGCGAGCTGTGATTAGACTTTCTGCAGATTGTTTGGTCGTTGATTATGGTCTATGATTGCCCTATTCTTCTAGGAGTAGCATGAAATTAGGATGTGATGGTCGCTTAAATTCTCTAATTGAACCACGATTTGTACGATGTTCCAGGACTAGGAGTAGAGCAGTAGGATCATGGACTTATGAAGATGTCGTAGCCGCAAGCTACTAGTTGGCGAGTGGTATTTCAATGCTGTATTCATATATACTACGTACTACTCAGCTCAGATGTTTCTGTAGTAGTATCTCAGCTGCTCTTATGTATCTACTCAGGATGTTGTCTTCATATCCTTGAATTTCATCACTGTTTTGATAGATAAACCGATATATATACTCGTACTAAAACTCGAGCTCCCTGCAGCAA